ACCTGTCGTTTCACATTGCCTCAAAAAATGACTTAATGACAAAATGAAATGATTATATCCTGAGAAATAAAAAAAAACACTTTTGAATATTCGTCAGAACTCTTTTACAAAGCGGTTGCATTTTTCTCATGAATTATGCAGCAGAAGCTCTTCTGGGGCTTCATTAGTACTTTATTCACCAAAATTTATACGGCATAGTCATTAGGACTCCTCTGAAAGCACACTAGATCCTTGATGTTTAGTGTAACAAATTACACTTGATTATATGGATGACTCCTCTGCTAAACTTGAATCGGTTGCTCTGATAAGAGGTGATTTTTATTTATTTTATTATTTTTTGAGTGGGAGTGAGTTTTTGTTGCCTGCTGAAAGCTTCAGCTCATCCTTCCTGTCTCCGCTCTCCTCTTCAGGGGCGTTGCACACGCGAGAACTGCAAATACCTGCACCCACCTCCGCACCTGAAAACCCAGCTGGAAATCAATGGGAGGAACAACCTGATCCAGCAGAAGGCCGCGGCAGCCATGTTGGCTCAGCAGATGCAGTTCATGCTGCCTGGAACACAACTGCAGCCCATAGTGAGCAGCCCATCCTAAACTATGACTCTACAGTAATGCAGTCATCAAAACACCGTGCCGTGTGCAAGATGTGCGCTAAACAGACAACAAGGAGTAGAATAATATTTCACTCTATCAATGCTGGTTATTTCTGTCCTCTTACATACATAAAATAGGGAATAAAAAGAGCCTTTTTGTTTTTAAAAAGTGTTTCAAAGCCAAAGTTTCTTACTGTACAAGGAGAAATTCACAGAATCTCAAGTGACATTGAAAGTCTTTCATGTATTCTGCCTGCTCAGCTGTTTTTTCATGCTTGTAGAAGTTGTTTCGGCAGCTGCATTGTTCTTATTCCTGTAAAAAGCAGTGCTGGCAGTCAAGCACTTCAAGCCTCCTATTGAAAGCTCTGCCATAAATCGTCTCTTTCTTGTTCTCTTTCTTTCAGACAACATTCCCAGTGACACCCTCTCTGGCAACGAGTCCCAGCATGGCATTCAGTCCATATCTAAGCCACATGGGCCCAGCGATGGGTTTGATGCCTGAGCTGCTGCCCAGCACTCCCCTGCTCGTCCCCGGGAGTCCTACCGGTCTGGCAGCCATGGGAAATGGCACCTCCGCACAAAAACATGTGCGCACAGACAAGCTGGAGGTATGCAGCCAGCGTGCAGTTGTTGTGTTTCTATGTTTGGTGGAAAAACGATGAAAGGTGAATGTTGATCGGTGCTCCCGCCCGCCCCGCCAGGTTTGCAGAGAATTCCAGCGCGGGAACTGCACGCGAGGTGAGAACGACTGCCGCTACGCTCACCCCCTGGAGGCGGGCATGGTGGACTGCAACGAGAACTCGGTCATTGTCTGCATGGACTATATTAAAGGCCGCTGCAGCCGAGACAAGTGCAAGTACTTCCACCCTCCAGCTCACCTGCAGGCCAGAATCAAGGCTGCACAGCACCAAGCCAGTCAAAACACCCCGTCCTCAGGCTTGGTGAGTCGTCCTCGACACTGTGTCTCTGTACTTTTTAACAAAAATAAGCATTAAAATATTCTCATGTTTTTCAGAAGAAAAACATGCGTGTAAGCCAACTGTAAAGCCAACCTCTGCCATACAGCTAAATCCATAATTTGTTGGACATGGATACAGTTTTTGTTTTGTTGCTCTGTTTAATTAATAGCACTGCTGGGTTGAATCAAGATGTAATTGAAGTTTGGACTTTCAGCTTTCATTTCTAGGGGTTTTACAAAAAAATTGCATCAGCTCTTTGGGAATTACAGTTTTCAGCTTTGCCACCTCCATGCTGGCCTCCTGTCTTTTTGTCGGTGCCATCGTCTCCAAACCAAAGATCATATCCGGTCTCACTATCATCTCGTAAACCTCCCTTTTCACTGTTGCTGCCACAAATCACCCTGACACTCATCTCCACCCACTCCACTCTGCCTGCACTCTCTTCTTCACATCTTTTGTGTGTTTGTTGCTTGGGATGGTTGACCCCAGGTATTTAAACTCATCCACATTCACTACCTCTGCTCCTGGCAGCTTTATCTATTCGCCCCACAAAATAAAACTTCTAGAACTTTGCAGACTTTTTTGGGCCTTTTTGTTCTTTATTGTAACCAGTGGTTTGCATTCTCTTGATTGTACACCTTGACAGTGATACGTCTATCTTTCCGAGCAAGTTCATGACTTTGTTAAATGTTGGGAAGCTGTTTTTCTTAATCATGGAAATCATTCTGTTATCATTTAGCGTTGCTGACCTGGCCACTGAATTCCTTCTTTTTAAGAATGGATCAGGTTGTTGATTTTTCCAGTTTTTTTCTACGTCTCTTTGGGTCTCATATTTAAAATTAAAGTGAAGTTTTTTATGAAGTAACAAGGAAACAGGCCTCACCTGCTGATGACTGGGCTGGATTGGTACCAATCTGTTGTGGTAAAAACATAGCTGTGGATTTACCGGTCTGTCTATGTTCCTACCCTCACCTGTGGTCACCTATGGTCA